GGGCTGCAGCTCCCCGGAGGGGGCCCGCTGACTCGCGCCAGGCCGTTGCCCTGGGAGTCCATGCCTTCAGAGTTCTCCAGCATTTCCTGGATGAGCGGGGGCATGGAGCCCGGGATCTCCATCTTCAGAGTGATGACGCGCTCCGCACCTGGAGGAAGAGGGGGACAGCGTTAGCTCACCACAACGGAGGGGCTGGATTTCCCTTCTTCCCCTTTCTACCCCCAGCTTGGAACCAGAGTACCAGAAACACCGGAAATCACACATTTCTGTCCACCCCCGGACCAGGCCTTGTTTTCCAACTGCGTGTGTTATTGTCGGAATTCTAGTGAAAATAAATACTGCCACAGCCTGGTAGTTTCATCATTTCTACTCGGGCTTGGTTCCGATCACTGCATGACGTAAAAAGTTTGCATTTAATCACTTTAGCTTATGGACAGGCATTATCTGAATACATTAACATGAGTACAAGTAGTTGACAACGCACTGCTGCGCAAGAGTTAAGACACTGTGCACTGTCCTTTCACTCAGTTTTCCCCTCCACGCATAAACAATTCTGTGGCAATCAACTGACAGTTCATTTAGTTTTGAATGAACACTTAACCCTGACAAAGCTGCATTTTGTTATACTGAATCAGTGAACATTACGGAGTTACAAGATTTGGCCAATGAGTTCAAGGGCACCAAATTTCACAAGAGGGTCAGCTCTGGTCAGGGGGGATTACTAACCAAGCTTGGGCCTCATGGCACGTTTCCCTGGCATCCTACTGGCACAGTGCTGAAGGCATGCCACAGAAAAACCCATGCACTGCTGCGTGCAGGGCCGCGTACCCGACGCAGGTACAGCAGGGCACCGAGTGCAGCAGAGACTCACCCTTGGCGCTGATGCTCCTCAAGTCTGTTATCTTCATCAGCATCTTGGGGAACATGTGTGGCTTGTGTGGCCTCCTCTTCCTCACATAGACCTTCAGGGCCTCCAGCAGGGGCTCCTGCAGCGTGTCCACGCGGTCGGACTGCTCCAGATCCTGCCGGTCTACACACACACACACAGACACACAAAGGCCATCAGCTCTGTAGAACCCTCACTCGAGGACCAGTGCAGTCCAGTGCAACCCAAAGGGAATGAACGTGTTTAATTACAATTGAAAAACAAAGTCATGTGAAATGGATTTGAATTCAATAAGACTTCCAGCAGTAAGGAGACTTCAGAGCAGTCCTAGCAGTTATGAACAACCACCACTAGGAGGCGCTGCTTCCTCACACAGTGTTTTTAAGAGCAGCTTCAGAACTGCATCCAGTGATAGGAATGTTTATGCATGTAAAACCCACATAAAATTATTACTGATAAATACTCCAGAACCTTATGTAAGAACGTTACTTATTGACAGTCAATAAGTTCTAAAGTAGACCCCAAGTCATAGCTTTCAAGAAAGACAGGATGACAAAGTCTTGGGCTTCAGCAGATCAATGACCCTGCGAGGGCGTCTTCTTAGACTTTAGATTCTGCTCAACAGTGCACTAAAAAACGCAACCCCACGCAGAAATGAAGAATGAAGTGCGTTAGGGAAAAAAAGAGGCATCATGATGATACAAGGTGGGCCTTCCAGGCGACACGCCTTACCCCCACAGAGCAGGCAGATGGCACTGAGCAGGCCGGTCTCTGCGTCGTCCATCTCCAGCGGCAGCAGCTGGTTGGCGAAGGCGAACACCAGGTCGGTGAGCGGCCCGAAGCCGGCGTTGTGCATCTGCGTGCGGTTCAGCGTCAGCCCGTCCGAGAACGTCATGGTGTCCTGTTCAGGTGTGTAGCGTGTGCAGATCCGCAGAATCTGTGGAGACGCCAGGGGTCAGCAGTGAGCATTAAAGTCCCCCCCACCGCCCGGCCTTTAGCAGTCATGGGCTCCTAAATAATCCCCCTCTCTGAACTGACTTCATCACTCCGTTCTCCTCCCCACTGAGAGCTGGCGTGTGGGGAGTGTACTGGCACACTATGGCTGCTGTATCATCCAGGTGGGGGATGGAAGGGAGTCCCCATTACCTGTACAGCTCTTTGACTGGAGTGTCCAGAAAGTGGTACAGAAGTATTATCATCAGCACTCGAATTGTACGCAGTGAGCCCTCCTGACCACAGACACCCTTTAGCTTATTCATAGTCCTTCACTGAAGTCCTGAAAGGTTTACTCAAAGACAGAACCAGGCGTTTTTATTCTTTTCAATGTCACTAGCTGAAAGAACTGTCACCGTGTTTCATTAATTTCCTGTTCCAATTCTACCAAGATGATGAATTGACGTGTGAGAGGTGGAATCTATTCCATTAGTCTTGCACAGTGCCTCGAGTCCTGCCCTGCTTTGTACTGAGGCCACACGCCTGTCCTTGGCGTCGAGTCTCGCGCCAGTATGGGCACTAGTGGCTCATGAGGCCAGCTGTGGCTTATGGGCAGGCGCTCCGCGATAATCCTGTCACTGTTGCTGTGGCCTTCGGGCACTCACCAGGATGTCAAGGCAGGCGGCTTTGAGCAGGGTGATTTGGTCTGCGATGGTAAGCGTGGTGAAGCCCGGCAGCTGTTTGGCGAATTCGACGGTTTTGATGATGCACTTGGTGGAGAGCTCGCTGAACTTGTCCCAGAGGTCTATGTCCAGAGACACGCGCTGGTCCGAGCTGTTATTCTGAGGCAGACGAGAGAGACGCAGAGAGGAAGACGGAGAAAGGGGGAGTCAGAGTGAAGCCACACGCTGGTGAGCTACATGTTTTGTCCTCCCTGCCCTGGTGGTTTTCTGGTATTTGCAGTGTCACACATGAAGTCGCGGCTGCAATTCTGCTCTTGTCCCCCCCCTATAGCACCACCCGCAGTGGTGTAAGACTGCTGACCATAAGCCACACCCATCTAACCACACTGGAGCAAGGCCTGAAAGCTGGTGTGCAACGCCGTGCCCAGCTGTGAGGCAGAGGGCGACGGCCCGGAAGCGGTCCTTACTGTAGTGTATTTGCCCAGCTGGCAGAGCGAGGGGAAGGTTTCCTGGTGGGCCTTGCGGACCTTCGCGATCATGTCCTCGGTGGCGGGGCTCAGCACGTAGCTCTCCGTGCACTCCTGCTTCTTCTCGTCCTTCTTCTTCTTGTTGCGATCGTTCCTCACGGCTGCGGGAGGGAGAGAGAGAGAGAGAGAGAGAGCGAGGTGAGACGGTGGCGCCATCACTGACCGGGCCAGAGTCCTGCAAGAGAACTGACTGACGAGGACGGGGGGGAGAGGCGATGGAGTAAAGTCTATGGGTATGCGCTGGTGGAGTCCCAGTGGGCCACAGGCCGCAGAGGCAGGAAGTGAAGCGGCTGTGCCAGCTGCCCAGTGCCGACCACAGCGCGGTGGGGGGAGAAAGAGCCTACAGGGAAATGTCCAGCTGTAGGAAGAGAGGCTGCGCGCTCCCCTGGCTCGAGCTGAGGAGCCCGGGTATTGACAGGGAAGGCACTGGAGCGAGGGGGAGCTGTGGGCTGGGGGTAGCTTAACAGCAGAAACCCGCGATCTGGGGGAGCTCCCTGCATCTCCAAGAGCCCAGAAATCCTAATCGGCTCGGAGAAGGGCCTCCGAGTGACGGGGCGCAAAACGCGGAAAATGAAATCCGCCACATGGCAAGGAAGCCCCCTTTCCCTACAACGCACACCGGTAGTTAACGTCATTTCTTTTTTTCTTACCCGTCCCCCACCCCCCCGGAGAAGCCCCAGAGATCCTACCGCTCCGCACCCCCCCTGTGAGAGGCAGCAGGACTGCCACTGGAAGACTCAGGTGATGAATGGCAGCAGGGAATGAAGTCGTTAATAACGCTGACAAATCACCCCTGCTTTCATTAGACCCCCGAGCTAATCTAATAACATAATATGACAAATATCCAAGCGGTAATGGTTTAAAAGGCTCTGCTGAACCCACAACCAACCCCCATCACTGCTACCTTCCCCCCTCCCTCCCCAGGCAGCGCTGACGTGCAGGAGGGAGGGGGAGGGAGAGAGAGAGAGTGCTCCCGTCATCTTCCCCAGGCCTCAACAGAAGGCTCAGTTGTCCAATGAGCCCTGATTCCAGCGTGGCAAGTTTCCAAAAAAACTCTCGGAAGGACGTGAACTACAGCCCCGCCATTTGCAGGCGGCCATTACCATTAATCAGCTCCCAAGCCGCATCTGGAGGCAGGAGGGGTGCAGCCACAGTCTACTAATCTACCGCATGTGGGAACTCCCATCGCCGTTACAGACGATATTTTTAAGAGATGAATAATGTAAAGCCACAAGGTGTAACAATAAAACAGATGACAATAATAACAACTAAGAGGTACTTATTCCGAACAACGCACTGTTCTCTCCCTAGACCTTGCAAGGAACCAGAAAGACTCGTAGAAAGATGTAAAACTGTGAAACAGCGTGACGCCTTGCCTGACTTTGAACATCGGCACCATCAAACACAGCCAAACGTACGCAAGCTGGGGGGGGTCTCAACGTCTGCCGGTGTAGAAAACTCAGCTCAGCCCCCTGGCATTTCTGAATATATTTACTAATGACTAAATGAGACAATGGGGGAAAAAAAATCTCCACGACATTTGTTCAGACTGCAGAAATGATTGGAATAAGGCAACTTTCCAAGACACACCCCCCCCACCCAGGTTCATTACAGTCCTCTGGAGAGCTAAAATTAATTAATAAATAAAAGCAGGTCCTCGCATCCTTAAAGCACAGACATTACCCAAGTTGACAAATTGACAGCACAGTCATAAGCTGCACAACACAATTTAATGAAGTCATTAAAGAACTATTAGCTGGGACCGATAATCAGTCATGGCGGATTGCGAAGTTTAATAACTCTGGGTGTGTGTGCGTGCGTCTCCGGGTGAGTGAGTGAGTGAGCCAGCACACACCGGCGGCTGGAAGGGAGCGCAAATCACTCGTCCTCTTGGCAAATTCAATAATAAGAACAGGGGGTGGGAGATGGCGGGGGTAGGAGGGAGGTGGTGGCTGGTGTTGGAGAGGGAGATGGGGATAATTTGGGAGAAGAAAATTAAAGCACTGACAGGTCGTCCATCATAGAGATTAAATTCAATGGAAGGATAAAAATGTCAATGTTTCCAGTGTCTCTTGTGCTGCTGTTTTTTTTTTTCATCACCCCTCCCCTCTCTCTCCCCCCACTCCTTTGCAAAGACATTGATGAAATTTTCTTTTTTTTTTTGCACACAAACCAAATGACCGTTTTTTTTTTTAAAAAGGGTTTTTCGCTTACCGAGGGGAGCCCCATCAGAGAGTCCCTGCTTGTTCTCCGGTGCGGGGAGGAGGAGGGAGGCGTCTGGACTCCCGGCTTTAGTGCTGGAGCGAGCTGAGACACAAGGAGGGGGCAGTTATACCCCCCGGGAGTCACACACAAACAGGGGCTCCCAACACTGGGCTCCCCACACGGCTGCTCCAGCCCCCGGTTGCAGCGGAAATCCCACACCCGGCTGTTTGGGCACACCTCCTCCCCCTCCCAGCTCGTGACATGGAAGAGAAGCGCCGTGCATCCTGGTGGACTCTCCCAGCGGGAATTGCATAGAATGGCAACTTCCGGATCTTCCGGATCCTACTTCTTTGCATGTGAGCTTAAGGGGGTGAACACCAGCAGATACTCTCGGGGGTTCCAGCCCTGAAGGGGCGCCTCAAACCGGCCTTGCAAGGTCAAGATCCAGTGGTCTACTTACTGCCCATTTCCCTACGAGCTTGAGACTAGAGGAAACCCTCCTCACACACGTCCAGGTCTTCACAGACACTGCCACCCTCTCATCACTCTTATTGGGCTTCTCCAGGAGCCCAGCCCAAGCCTGCTCCTCTGTCTCAATATCGCTCTTGACACTGGAGCCACGGGTGCCTTCTCACTCAGAGGCTCCGGAGAGCCAACCCCACAAAAACAACACCCCACCCCCAGGCTGGATAAAACAGGGCAATCTGCATCTGCATCAAGATAATGTGATCCTGCCACAGTGCCATCTGCACTCCAGTCTCCTGCCAAGGGCAGCTCATTTCAGAGTGATGACGGTCGGGGGACAAACACGCCTGCCAGGGCTCTTGCACAGACATGCAGCTAACCAAAGCTACCTCTGCTGGAGATAATGAACAAAGCAATGCTTAAAGATCTCAGAAATCACATGCATTACACACCGGCTGACACGTCAGAGGAAGCATTTCCAACAGTTTTTACACTGTATTCGCCCCCTATTCATTTTATTGCTCATCACACCCCTGACTAAAATCAGCACTATGAAATCCAGCCATTCATAATCTTCTCGGCCACTTCAGGTACGTTCAATACCATCTGAGTTATTTCAAAAACTTGCCAATGCCATTGTGTGCTTTCGTTAACACTGTGCTGCTAAGTAAATATAGTATGATAAAGTGGGTAGCACAACACTCATGCACTTCAATTAGAAATTCCCCCTGCTGCACACAATACTGCGATCTCATCTTGTTCCACAGTGGAAATATGCCTTTCCGACCACAAGAGGGTGCAAAAGATCTGGACTGCTGCAACATTGCAATCAAAGACGCTGTTATATCAACCACTGTGTCTAACAAGTCCCCATTCGGTCTTTACTGCCTTTGGGTGAGGGCACAGGGACACACAGCTTGCAAACAGGCTTTCTGATTCTTACACGAATCTCCTCACCTTTCGCTGACAAGTCACTCGCCTGTCCTGACAGTGTGGACCAGCTAACAGTGTTCATCATTTTAATGCACTGCTTGGAAAAAACCCCAGGAGGGATGATGATAACAGCTGACAGTGGATCCTCAATTAGACCCATGTGCTGACAGGATTTCAATGACAACGTCAGGCAGCCAGGCAGCATGGCGGCACAGGGGTTAGCACTGCTGTCTCTCAGTGGTGGAGCTCTGGGATCAGTTCCAGACATGGGGTACTGTCTGTGTGGAGTTTGTTTGCTCTTCTCAGGTTTGTGTGGGTTTTAGGGTGCTGTGGTTTCCTCCTACAGCCCAAATAGATACAGGCAAGGTTAATTGGCTGCCGGGAAATTTGGCCTTGGTGTGAATGCGTGGCTGTGTGCACGCAATGAACTGGTGGTGTCCCATCCCTGGCTTCCCTGTGCCCTTGAACTGGATGGAGCAAATAATGGCTGAATGGACAGACACAGTAGAGCAGCCAAACACTCAGACAGCCCCTCCCATCCGGCCTGCTGCTCATTGTTCCCAGAGAGCAGATAGGAGAGCAGGAGAGCAGGTGGGAATCGAACATGCTGCCCCCGCCAGGCTGCCAGGATGATCTGGGATGCCATCAACAAGCTCAGCCCTGCAGCAAAATGATCAAGACAGGAGGCATGGGGTCCATCTCCCATTTGTAACCTGTGATCTCTGACTGGGAGGCACAATCCCAGCACAGAGCAGTGGATAGGTTTTTAGGGGTTCAGCCCCCCCCCCCGTGCCTTAAGGAAGGTGCCTTACCCCCTATTATTCCAGCCCCCACAATATCCCTGGGTGGGATACTGACCCCTTGCAGTCAAGCACTCCAAGTCCTCTTCAAGCACAGAAAAGGGATATGCTGCAGTCTGGTAGGCCACTAGAGTCAGAAGAGGACTTCATTTCACAGCTCCTATAATTACTGCAAAGTCAGAGTGCCCTATACGTCACGCTGCAGAAAACCCAAGATACACAGCATTCCCCTTCTCTGCTTCACAGCGCGTTTTCTTGAAATATGTATTCAGCTCTAAAGACACTTTCTTTGGTCCCTTATCTCCTGAAAAACATCAAACTAAGGAAGGCTGCTGTCAAGGATAAAAAAAACCCTGCCTGAACTATTGTATCTGTGCAACAGATCACTGCTGATCACAGATTACTGCTGCTGGAGTCTTACAAAGGCTGTAAGGCGGTAAACCATCAACGTCATAAAGCCCAGTTCACCTTTGTGTAATTCACAAAGATCAAACGAGAAAGCAGCTTTCATTTCAGATCACGCGAGGGCCGGCAGGATTAGGAATCTATTTACAAGCTTTTTTAACGCGCTTTTCAGCGAATTCTCCTTAGACAGGCCCCCCACCCCTTCCCTAACCTTCCACCCCCCCCATTCCCGATGCAGGGAGAAACCAGCGACTTCATTCCCTCATCCCAGCCCACCACCACCCCCCACCGCTCCCTCACAAACGCGCAGGCTGGAGCCCTGCTTCCAAAGTCACAGAGTAACCATGTGGAGGAGGGGGGGGGGGTTCAAGACTGGAGTCTTCGATGGCGGCTCTTCCTGTCTCTGTGAAGCGGACCGCGAACGAGCGCTTGCCCACAGGGAAGCGTAGCCCGGACCGGCCCCCCAGGTCACTGCGTGCGCCGCCCCCGGGAAGAAGGAAGATTCCCGGCTCCGTTTGTGGACATCCCCTCCCATCGGTGGGGTGGGGGAGCCGAGCCGGACCGGTCAGCTCCGTCCCCACGCCCCCCACCCCCCACCCCGCGAGCCGCAGTCAGAGGGGTGGGTACTCACACTCCTTGGACATCCCCACTTCCAGGCACTTCTGCAGCCGGCAGTACTGGCAGCGGTTGCGGGTCACCTTGTTGATGATGCAGTTCTTCTCGCGGTGGCAGGTGTACACCATGTTCTTCTGGATGCTGCGCCGGAAGAAGCCCTACGGAGCAGAGGGAGGGAGAGGGAGACGTCAAAACGCGGAAGCCGGCCAGCTTCCACGCCGCTCTCTTCAAGAGCTCAGGAAGGCACGGGTGGCCGATGGCGACGCAGGTGAGGCCAGTTCAGCCCATCAGGTTCCTTGAGTGTTGTTTCTTTGTAGCCATACAGCCAACACTGGCCGGACTGGGAACAACCCACCCGCACCAGTATGAAATCCCAACCTGGAATGGAGATATAAGAAGGCTCTACACAAGCGGAGGCCCACTCAGCCCGTTAGTTAGCAGCTAATCGATCCAAGCATCTCATGAAGCATCCGAGTCTTGAAAGACAACATGGCTGGGCAGCCTGTTCAGACAACCACAGCTCTTCTTCGCACAGTTTTAATCGCACATCCACGCACCCGCCACCAAGGCTGACCTGAGTCACTCTCGGAGAATATGCAAACGCCACACAGGTGGGAGACCCAGGCTGGACTCGGACCAGTACTACTGACACTCACCACCCCACCCTGCTGCCTTCATCCTTCCATACCCAACGCGGTATCTCGGTATCTTTGGGTGCAGAAAGATAACACAGCTGTCAGCCAGGCAGGACAAAGCAAGTCCAAGATGGCACAGACACAAACAGCTAGCTTAGCTCGATGCAACAGCAGGGCCTGATGTAGCAGATGATCAAGCAGGAGGCTGAAATTAATGCCGTGGGCTTGGAACTGCTCTTGGGACACTGTGTACGTTTAGATTTAATCACACTCGAGCACATATACTCACACACGAAGGAGGAGAGACAGACTGGAGATACCGAGAATACGCAGTCTACACTGGGCAGCTGTATAACAATATCTACACACAGGGAGGCAGATGTGAAACACCAGCAGGGGAATTAATGCACAGACTGGAGAAGAGGTTAATCTACAGACTGGAGGAGAGGACTGAGAAAACAGATCAGAGATGCAGAGAGATCTATGAAAAAAGAAGCCAGCAGGCAGACCAAGCCAGGAAGAAAACTCACACTGGCCAGACAGGTTATCAAGAGCGGAAAAGCATGATTAGCACATGCAATAGAGAAGTGAGAAAACGCCATTTGTGGCGGGCCTTCATTTCCACAGCCCGGAGTCCGGACGGGTTGCTATGAAGTGGGAGCAGGGCCGGAGAAATGAGGCTGCGCAGCTGCTGGTGCGGAGGGGGAGACTGCAGGGGCACCCGCACAGCGACGGAGATGTGCAGACCGGCGTGCAGAAAAATAAACCAAAATAAGAGACGCCCAGAAGGCAGACTGCCCCATCGCCTCTCCAGGACCAGTCAATGGGCGCCTGCCTCTGTCTGCATACCTGTCCCCCCGCCCTGCAGCAGGGGGAACTGGCCACTGGGGGGGTTACTCGTGCAGTCCCGCTCTCCCACCACTGCTGAGCCACGCAGGTTTTTTTCAGCCACACAGGCAGAGTTCCTCGATCCCGCACTGACAAAAGCTGGACGGCCGACAGGCGTGGCGCGGAACTGATTAAACGGATTAGCCTGAAAATCACCACACCACTTACCGCGGCCGCGGGGGGTTATTTACCTGGCTCGGGGCCGCGGCAGGCGGCAGGCGGCGGCGGCGCAGTGCGGGCCGGCCGATAAGAGGCTGCAGCTCCGCTCAGGTGGCTGGGCTCGCTTCCTCAGACACGCCCAGCCGGGCACTGCAGCGGCCCGGGGCTCTCCCAGAGCCCTGCCGCCCCACACCCGCTCCCGGTCCTCGCACACACAGCGCGGAGCAGGGAGGACACCCCGACCAGAGCTGGGCAGCAGGATCGTGGGAAGACGCCCAGTTTTACGGCAAGGCTTGCCTCTGAAAACTGGAAACTCTCCTGCGGGGGCTTGTTTCTTCGGATCGAGACCAAAACAAATCCACACCTTTTCTGCCCTTTTTTCAATGAGCCCGACACTGCAATCACCGATTACTGTCTGGCAGCAAAAAAGAAATACACACTTGCACGCCATTAAAGACAGGGGCACCCTTTTCCTGCAGCTGTTCCAAGCGCCAGCCGTGATCAGTATTCCACGGCTCCATGTCTGTAATGCAGAATCCTCCCCGTGCATTACCCTGTGTTTTGGCTACCACTGCTTTCCTCGAGCGAGGTGGTGGTGGCAGACAGGAGAAGGAGGGACAGAGGAGAGAGGCAGGGGGCGCTAGCAGAGGGGAGACCCTCGTGCTCAGAGGCCAGGCAGCGCTGTGCCTTGTGTGCACAGCGCTGACGACTTATATAACGCTACTCAACCAGACAGACAACAACAGCCACAGCCCACTTAGGTTTAAACTAGATTTGGTGCCAAGAATAACTCTCATCCTCCCAGAAGCCAGGCAGAGCACAGCATTACGAGCGGCACAGGAGACACAATTAATCTCCTCTCACAACTCCTTTAGAATATTTCATTTCCTTTGCGAAAGCCCGGCGCGCGCACGCACATATTTGCACCGGTGCGTGAAACTGGAGGCTAACGTTTCAAAGACAACCTGTATGCTGCTCCTTTAAAAAAAAAAAAGTCAGTTTGGGCGTGCGTTGTGATAGACTGACTCCTTTTCCCTTTTAAATAACTGCAGCTGTTTATGCACTAACCCCCCCCCTGGAACACAATCAATGGAGTTTCCAGGAGGTGTGAAGAATGCGCTGGCACCAGGCAGAGTCCAGCTGTCTGCTGAGCTGCAGCCCCGGGTTTGTGGAGCCAAGTCTGGGGCGGCATGGTTTTGGGCAGAAATGGCAAAAGCTTGCGTTACACCGCAACAATGGCGGAGAGGAATACGTCCGGAGCTGTGCCAAGACACGAACCGAACTAGAGGATCAGTGATTTATGAGGAGTCTGGTTTTGTACCACAGGAAAAGCAGCAGAAAATAAGAGCCATCAGATCTATCTTACTGATCTAAGCCCTCTTACAGCGCGGCACTGGAAACAGCGGACAGAAAAGGAGGACGAAAAACTGAAATAAAAACAGAGCGATGCTGAGAGGCAGCTCGTGTGCATCCTGAGAGACTGACTTGTCCCTGGCTTGTCCCTGGGAGTTAACTGGGCTCGAACCTGGGTCCCAGCTGTGCAGCCGAAACGGTCACTAAGTCAGGGTATCAGCCCTTCAAACCGCTCCCCGCCCGGTGTGCAGTCTTCTTATCTCTGTTTCCATTTAAAGCTGTTTCTTCCCGGAGCTGTAAACCTCTTTTCCATCAGACTAATCCTCCCCTCCGCAGGAGCCTTCGGCCGGATTATCAGTGATCCTGCAGGGCCTGGGAGGAGAGGGGGGCAGGCTGTGGTGACTAGTGCTCCCCGGCCCCCCACTCCCGAGACCCAGCGACTGAACACAGCACCGCGGCCCCCCACTCCCGAGACCCAGCGACTGAACAC